TCATTCTCTCTCTCAAATAAATAAATAAAATCTTTAAAAAATAAAAAAATAAAAAATAGGCATATCAGACTGTCAGGGGAGTATGCTGAGCATATATCACTGGATTCTAAGACTGACTAGATTTATCATTACTAAGACATTGAAGATTTAAGTAGAGAATGACAGGAACATACCCGCTTAAATTTCCCAGAGACCTTGTTCTGAAGTCTGCTACAGTTGGTACTGATTTGATAGGAGATGTTTTTAATTGTTTTTCCATTTTGAAGAACTGGATGAGATTCTGCCAATGTGATGACACATATTCTATAAGGAGCAAAAATTTGATGCTGTTATTGGTTGGTATAATTCTTCCTCATACCACACAGTACTCCTACTGGCACAAAAATATATGAACTGACATTTGTTTAGTCAAACTATCATTTCCCCGCATTTTCCTCTGGCTACTGCTGGAGCTTAACTGTAGAAGGGAATGCAATAATAGAAGAGGAGAAAATGAAACTGAATATCCTTCCCAGAAAAAGGAAGAGTACTAGAAGTCTTTAGGTAGAACTGAGGTAGAAGAGAGAAAAGTAAGGCATCCCTGTATGTGTAGGATACTACCTGTGCATCTACCCTAGTCCTTTCTGTGAGCCCCGGCAATTCACTGTGGTTAGGCACAGGCTGGTTATTTCACACAGTGGCTGGCCGAGGGTGTGGTCCTCCATCTGGATGTTTGGGTAATCAAGTTTATTTGGAGTATGCACTGAAAGGCTCATTCTTGTCAGCCAGACTCCTCTAATAAATGCCATTTCAACACAGTGGAAGATAATCATTTAATGAATATTTGTTTATTCCAAGACCATACCAGGCTACAATACCAGAAACTTTTTTTTAATAATTTAAAATTCCCAATTTGCTTACCGGTTGGAGTGCTGTAGTATACAGTGGTCCTCACAGGGTTTGCCTTTGACATCTAGAAGGATGAATGAGTCTGTTGGTTGTGGGTCAATATTTACTGCCACTGTGTGGTATTTTTCTTTGGTTTGTAGAGATAATTATGAAGACTGAATACACACTAATCACTGGTATCCCTTCATTACTTAAAAAGATATACATAAAGGCTTCCTGTAAAGTATTTAAAGAGATCTGGCCCAGATGGAATCATTCATTCAATATTAAATGATTATTAACTCTTTGCTCCATCTTGCTTTATCCTCACTTTAAAATGAGTACATTCATTATTTCTATTAGAAAAACTGCCATTAGCAATGCATTCTTTATATAATATAGTAGCATATGTTTTATCGGTCAATTTTAGAGTGACCAACTCGTCTGGTTTACCCAGGACTGTCTAGATGTTAGCTCTGAAAGTCTCAGATTCTGGGAAACCCCTCAGTTTTGGATAAACCGGGTCACCCTAAATTTGGCTAAAAATTGTATGCCATAATATTTAAAAAAATAAGTACACCTATTATCCCTGAATGAAAGGGAGCAAGTAGGGGTTAGAGAAGGGTCCTCAACGATGCTCCCACCACTGATTTTTACTGGGTACACAAAGCAGGACAACACGATATCTACTTCAAGTGACAAGTATATGACACCAGCAACTTTTAGTAAAACTGTTAGATTTTGCTTTCTAAATGCCTCCATTCTAACCCAGTTCTCCTCTCCGTCCCTGCCTCTACCGTAGTTTCGACCTGATCATTTAAATCTTTGTACGTATCGCCACTGCTGTAGGACTGAGCCAGTCAAATCCTTGCAGGCATTCAGGGCGATTGCAATCCACCTTCCCTAGGGGTGGTGCCTCACCTTAGACTATCTTCCCGCAAGCGACCCACCCTTCAACTCGCACCGCGACGCCAGCCCCTAAGTGCGCCCGCATGTACTGCAGCCCTCCACGGCTTTGCGACTGCCATTCCTTCCGCCTAGAAAGGAACAGAGATCCAGTTCCTTCTACTATGGGGAGGAAGCGACGGGGAAAACGCGCGTGTCTCATGACCTGTCACCACCGTCCCTACAGCATCAGGCAAATGCGGCCGAACAGAAGCCGACACCATTCTCCACTTACCGGCTTTGTACCAGCGAGTGAAGTAACGATCCACGAGCGACGGAACAGTCGATTCGGCGGCCGCGGGCTCTGTGGCCATGGCGACCAGGGGCGCCACCACCCCCGCCCTATGAGACCCGAGCACTTCCTCCGAGCAGGCCCTGGAGGAGGGCGTACTTCCGGTGCGCGGCCTGCGGCCCGCGGCGTGCGCACGCGCGTTGCTCCCTGGCCCAGCCAACTCCGCCACCGGAGTTTCTTAGCACTGTTTTGGAGTCCGACGTCAAAGCGGGGATCGAATACCATAGCCTGGGCGGGAGGGTGGGGGGACGGACGGAGGGGCAGCGCCGCTCCCCACCTCTAGCTAGCCGGGTCTTTGGAGAAGGCCGGCCACGTCCCCGCCGCCTCGTGACGTCACTCACTCGCCGCTGGGCGCGTGTCCCACCTGCTTCGCTCGCTCTTCGCTGTCTCACGGGTCGACCCTCCGCCCACCTTTAGCCATTACTCCCCGTGGTCGAGCTGCCGGGCAGCCCCGTGCGCGTCCCGAAAGCTGGAGAGTCGCGGACGGAGAGGTGTGTGTGTGCAGCTTCGCGCGGGCTCTGGAAGGCCAGCTGTGCGTGGCCGGTGAAGAGAGGGTGGACGCACCGCTGTTTGCGGGTCCTCGGAGCTCGTCGCAGGTGAGCGTTCGGGGTGGAGGGCACGGAATCGGGCGTGTCCTCGGGATGTCCTAAGGGGACCCTGGAGCGTGCACCCTTTGCCTGCTGCAGGAGGCTCGGGAGTGGAGTGCGGCGTGACTACCTCTGTCCTTGAGCCTTGAGTTCTTTTTCTGCAGACATGCCACCTGCTCCATCCGGGGGCTCTGCGCTGCATTCCGGGGACGATGTGTTGCTCCCCCGGCTGCACATTTACCCAGCTTCTGAATTCTTTGCAGGAGTGGACAGTACCGCCGAACCAGTTAATGTGCGACTGCTGTTAGTGGATTGGATGAGTGTTTGGCGCTGCTTCTCGCATCTATGACTTTTTCGTGGAGCTGCGTCCTGTACTTCTCCATCCAATGCATATTATATGGCTTTCTCTCCCTTTAAGCTGTGACCTCCGTGTAGGCAGTGACAGAGTCCTCTCTTGTCTTCAGATCCTTGCACTTACCAAGTGCTTAGATGTTTCATGTGGGCCATAAACCGGGTCGTATGATGGATTTCACGCTATGCAAAGGATTCAAAAAGCGATGGAACTAACCAGTAAATGAATAGTTTAATATGAAATGTGAGCAAAAAGAAGGGAAAGACCGTTTTCAGCTTGGGGCGGGGGGAGGGCAGAGAGAGTAGAAGAAATGCCATGTCCTCAAATAGAAACTCATTTGAATAGGAGAATAGCAATACTTCGTTTTCCAGGTTGTATTTGATGTGCTTGTGAGACATTCTTGTGATAACAGCAGGAAGTTGAAACTGTGGGTTTATTGTTCACTTTGGGGAGGGTCTGGGCTAGACATGTAGATCTAATCAGCGTATCAGTGAGCTCTCTGATACTGGTAGTCATGGGCATGGTAATTAGCCAAGAGGCAAAAGGATGGAGGAGCGAGGGTGGAGGAATTGCCAGAAATTTCAGAGAAGATACAGACTTGATCTGTGGTATGAAGAGATCTTTAGCACAATTAAGGGCTGGGAAAAGTGTAATCGAGGGTGAGAGAGTTGGGGATTGCAGATGTAATAGAAAGGGTACTAGTAAGTTGAGGTCCTGGGGGAGCATGGAGGATACTACTTGCCTAGCCTTGAAAAGGAGTGGGGACACTTTTGAGAAAAGGGAATAAAGATGATGGGTGTGAAAAGTTAGAGAAGTTCCTTTTGAGCTTGGAATGGTTGGGATGGGGGAGATGAATGATGAGCTCACCTTTGTCAGTGATTTTGGAAGCTCTGTGACTTGAAAACACCCGTTGTTTGCTGTGTTGGTCAGTCAGGGTCCAATCAGGAAATTAGAAACCATACAAAATTTCAACAGAATTTAATATGAAGAATTGGTTAAGTAGCTATTAGAGGGATAAAAGCAAAAGGGAGCAGTGAAGTAAAAGGTAAACTGATGGAAGTAGCTACAACACTTAGCTTAGGGCTTGGGTTCAAAACAGGGGAAGATGGAATTATCATGACCTAATCTTGGAGGAGAGGTACTTTTAGAGCTGGGACTCAGACTTCTGATGTTGAGGACTCTGGAATTCAGAGGAGGAGTCCTGCGTTCTGGATTTCAGTGTCTGGAGAGAGACTGCCTGGTTAGTGCTAATATCTGTTGGGGTGGGGTTGATGAGGTTGGTCCTGGGAGTGCTAGGGACTGAGACCAAGGGCCCCTTCAAGAGTGGAGGCCCATTGCTGGGATGACAATGACTGGTGCAGCCAGAGAGTCCTCAGCTCCTTGTCTTTATCCTCCAAATTCTTATCCTGGGGTCCTTGGACCCCAGGGCTCCACAGGTTGTTGGTTAATGGAATCCAAGTTTACAGGGAGGAATATGAAGACATTTTGATGATCTGATAATGGCAACAGTAACAGCATGATTATTATTAGATAAACTAGCATGGAAGACAGGAGACTCTACACATTGGACCCCAGTTGCCTGTCTGTCCTCTTTTCTTGCTCCTCTATTACTTGCTTACTCCCCTCTAGCCAGACAGTCTCTCATCTCGAATCTACCCATCCTTTCAGATCTGTGTCACTGGTCATCTGTATGTTTAAAGATGAAAGATAGGTGATTTTTATATTTTTTAAAAAACCCGTTTTCTCCACAGTATGGAGGTTCCTCAAAAAGTTGAAAATAGAGCTACCATATGATCCAGTAATTGCACTTCTGGGTGTTTACCCCAAAGATACAAATGTAGGGATCCGAAGGGGTACTTGCACCCCGATGTTTATAGCAGCAATGTCCACAATAGCCAAACTGTGGAAAGAGCCAAGATGTCCATCGACAGATGAATAGATACTGGACAGATGTGGTATATATATACAATGGAATATTATGCAGCCATCAAAAGGAATGAGATCTTGCCATTTGCAACGACGTGGATGGAACTGGAGGGTATTATGTTGAGCGAAATAAGTCAAACAGAGAAAGACATGTATCATATGACCTCACTGATAGGAGGAATTGTTAATCTCAGGAAACAAACTGAGGGTTGCTGGAGTGGGGGGTGGGGTGGGAGGGAGGGGGTGACTGGGTGATAGACACTGGGGAGGGTATGTGCTCTGGTGAGCGCTGTGAATTGTGCAGGACTGTTGAATCTCAGATCTGTACCTCTGAAACAAATAATGCAATATATGTTAAAAAAAAAAAAGAAGAAGAAGGTAGCAGGAGGGGAAGAATGAAGCGGGGGAAATCGGAGGGGTGGACGAACCATGAGAGACGATGGACTCTGAGAAACAAACTGAGGGTTCTAGAGGGGAGGTGGGTGGGAGGATGGGTTAGCCTGGTGGTGGGTATTGAGGAGGGCACGTTCTGCATGGAGCACTGGGTGTTATGCACAAACAATGAATCATGGAACACTACATCAAAAACTAATGATGTAATGTATGGTGATTAACATAACAATAAAAAATTAAAAAAAAAAAAACGTTTTCTAGATCTAATTCTAAAAACCTGCATGGTGTAATATAGGTTCAGATAGTTTCCAGAAGTTCTTGAATAGGAATGTCACCAAAGCTTACAAAACCATGTTGGCCTTGATTTTCTTCCTCACTCTCACCATGTATGGTCTTGCCTTCCTCTTAACCCACATTACATGTTGTATTTTTATATTACACTTAACCATTACGTGCAGTGGTAGGATAAGGATTAACTCATTTTATTCTTACATTGTCATATGTATGAAATGCAAGATGAGAGAATTCACCTTGGATGAGGGTGATAATAAGGCCATTGTGCTCTATATATTTGCCACCCCTACCATAAGTTAGGGACTTCTAATTATAAACTTTATAAACTTGAATGGGGTCTGAGTATAAATATCCAGGACGTTAACATTCATTTTTTTTTCTCTTAGCTATCGTTATGCATTAAAGCAAGTCTGATTTGGCCAGACCAAAGTAGAGTTCCTATTTATCATCCTTTTTCACCTTTTCTATTTCACTGGTAAAAACCAGGCCAGGAGAGCCGAATTACGTGAAGTAGTTATATTAAGTCATCAAGCTCCTCAGAGGTTGGTCATCACTTTGAAGTAAACTGCTATAATTTCATAGTGTCTTTTTTTTCCTCCCTGAGATTGGTAAATACTTTTATTTCTATCTTTAATTTCAGTATTTATTTTTAAAATGAATACATAAACATAAAGCCAGTTTACAAATAAATTTATCTGGTGATATTGAAGCTGTTTTATTCTAGATTTTCTTCAACTGACTGTGTGTGTGTATATATATGGATTTTTTATATGATTTTTATAAATCTTTCAGGTTATAAAGATATTCTTATATGCAAAAATAAAATGTTTTCCTATTTATTTTGATGTTTTCAACTTTTCTGAGGAATAACTGATGTTAAATCTTTTTGAAGAAGAAATTCTGAAGTTCAGGATCTTGCCTCTCCCAAAGAGTAAGAACGTAAAGTAGATTTCAGAACCTCAGTTTGTAGACCATAGATAAATGCTCTGAGTTGGTGAGGTTGCTACCACACGCCCTATGTGGGTTTAGATTAGGTCTTTTTCTTTTTCTTTTTCTTTTTTTGGTTATTCTAACTACCACATCCCTGCCCCTGAATCATTTTGCTTCTATGAGTGTCATTTATCACTGGTAAGCTATTCCTTTCTCTCAGAATAATTCTTCATCAAGGGATATTTGTACTTTTCTTTCAGGAATTGTTTCATCATGAGAAATCTTAAGTTATTTCGGACCCTGGAGTTCAGGGATATTCAGGCTCTGGGGAAACCTCAGTGCTTCTCTCTCCGAACTGAACAGAAGACAGTGCTCATTGGCTCAGACCATGGACTGATAGAAGTAGACCCTGTCACAAGAGAAGTAAGTTAGTGATGGAGAATGCAAGCACTTGCAGGACCCTCAACTTATCTTTTTCCAAACCTGCTTCCCCTAGATTGTCTTTAGTTTAAATCTTACTGAATTCATACTCTCCTAAATGGACATTCCCTTTGCTTTATATCAGGTCATATTAGACATTACTTAAATAGTAACCTACCCTTAACTCTGCTTCTGTTTGAAATGTAAGTTGGCAAAATTCTGACTTTATATTTTGTTTGGGTGCCCTACTTTTTACCCTTTCATCATGTAAATAACAGTGAATCTCAACTGGGAATGCAAGTGAAAATTGCCTGTAGAGCCTTTTAAAATTGTGTTTCAGCCTCCATCCCATGCCAACTAAATCAGAATCTTCACTGCTGGACCCTGAGTGTGTGTGTGTGTGTATGTATGTATATGTGTGTGTATATTTATGTATATGTGTATGTATGCATATGTATGTATATGTGTGTTATGTATGTATACACATACTTAAAAAATCTTTGAGTTGATTCTGAGATCTTCCCTTAATTATATTTTGCTAGTAATGTATTTTAGGTGATTACATTTTTAGTTCTTTTCCCCCATACTATAGAAATTTTAGAAAACCATAGTTATTAGCTTCATGTTTATAGGGCTTTTTTTTAAGAGACCATTCTTCTTGCTTTTGTTTAGTGCTTGCTTGGCAAAAAGGTCCCATTAACTATTTTTTTTTTTTTATTAAGGACAGTAGTGTTGCGATATTCTCAAATGAAAGTTTGGGTTTTAATCTAGAAAAAAAGTGAAAGCTTTTATATTAGAAAGGAACCATTAATTTGTTTTGGACATGTTATGAATTGTTCTTGCAAATAGATTAGCCTAATTTGTTTATGTGTTTGTTTTGGTGAAAGGTGAAAAATGAGATTTCTTTAGTGGCTGAAGGCTTTCTTCCAGAGGATGGAAGTGGCTGCATTGTTGGTATTCAGGACTTGCTGGATCAGGAGTCTGTGTGTGTGGCCACAGCCTCTGGAGATGTCATACTCTGCAGTCTCAGCACATGCCATGTAAGTGGAGGAGGCCAGTGAGGAGGAACTCTCAAGCATCCTCAAACAAGTTGCGTGTTTTGTGTAGAAGCTTAAAAACTCAGGAGCTAATGCGTAAATTTTACATTTAAGCGTTTTGCAAATTAGAGTCTTTGCATTATGTATTTCTTTACAAAAAGTTGTCAGCATGGCTTTAGCTGTATTTCACCTGTACTTCAGCTGTATTTCAAAAACTCGCTTTTGTCCACTGATGCAGCTGGAATGCGTTGGGAGTGTAGCCAGTGGTATCTCTGTCATGAGTTGGAGTCCTGACCAAGAGCTCGTGCTTCTTGCTACAGGTAAGCTTGTTACTGTCTTTCCCTGTGACTTTTATAAAACATGACTCCAAATATCTTAAAACCCTTCTAGGAACTCTCATGAGCTCTTAAAAATTACTTTCTTTCCTTTAAGTTTCTTCATTCCAGATGAGTTTCTGTAAACTGGTACCCCTGATGAGATATGTGTTTGAAGAGATACCTTGGTGAAGTGTTGAAGTTAGTGGAGGAGGGCTAGGTAGACTTTTATGTTAGCTTTACGTACATAAATGGCTGAGAATAAGCACTAGGTAACTTATCTGGTCAAAGCTTTTTTTTTTTTCTTTTTTCAAATGAGAGTCAGAATATTTAGAATGAATTATGTCTTCCATATTCTGACTCTACGCTCCTCCACTCCAGTTCTGTAGCTTCCAGTGTTGTAGATACTTACAAAACGGCAAATTTGTTACATGAAAACAAAATTGTTTTTGTTTGTGCCCACCCAAGGTCAGCAGACCCTAATTATGATGACAAAAGACTTTGAACCGATCATGGAACAGCAGATCCACCAGGATGATTTTGGTGAAAGTGAGTATAGCTTTGAAACATTTTGTGATCTGAAGTTCCTCTCAAGTTTGATCATTTTCTTGTACACTAATAGCCACATCATAAACCCAAAGAATTATGAAACATATAGCCTTGTGCATTAAATGTCTGATAAGCCCATCCCTTTAGCCCATTCCAGACTGTAAAAGGCATACCCCTGGTGCCTCTCCAAGTCTGAGAGTTCACTTTGCCAGTAACCTGGGGAACAGAAATCTGCTTAATGTCACCTACATAGTTGTTGCCCAAACCTCGGGACAGGCTTAGGCTGGGGCTTCAACGAAAGGAACTGTGTTAGCTAAAATAAAGAGAGCATTTCTGGGGTGCAGTTTTGGGGCAAAAACAAGAGAGGTGGGATAGAAGGCTGAGTTTTAGTTCCTACTGATTAGACCTTACTCTGTATTTTCACGGGAGCCATCAGATTGTTCTCTTGCTAAGATCTAGCTGAGGTGATTTGGGCCTTGGAGCTTTGGGAGTATTGAAAGAGGAGAAGGGCTGGGGAGCCTGGGTGGCTCAGTCATTAAGCGTCTGTCTTCAGCTCAGGTCATGATCCCAGGGTCCTGGGATCCAGCCCCGCATTAGGCTCTCTGCTCCGCGGGAAGCCTGCTTCTCCCTCTCCCGCTTCCCTTACTTGTGTTCCCTCTCTCGCTGTGTGTCTTTCTGTCAAATAAATAAATAAAATCTTTAAAAAAAAAAGGGGGGAGAAGGGGAGAGATGTTTATTGTATATAAGAAGCTCTGACCAACACGAGGGCACCAGATAGATGGCCTGATTGAGGAGAGGGATGGGGGGAGAAGGGATTTTAACTTTTACTGATTCCTGACCTCATGCCTTCTTCTACCAACTCAGAAATCATTTAGAAAGTTGCTACTCATTTATTCATTCAAAAATAATTTATTCAGAAATGATTTTTGAGTAGGTACGATGAACACAGCAGTGTGTTTGGTGCTGTGGATAATTCAGCTTTTCTTTTGAGGAGTCCCATAATAACATGATGTGCAGGCATTAGGGTAGCATGAGGGGAGGAAGGGAGCAGTGGACAGGGAAGACTTCCCAGAGGAGGCTGGCGTGAGCTAAGTCTTGGCTGGACCGAACTGGTGTTGGGTCGGTGAGAGTTGAGGGTGGAGGGTCTAAGCGATGGAATTAGCCCATTCCAAGGCACAGATGCTACATAGACGAGTCATGGCTTGTTCAGGCAGCTGTGAATACTTCGGTATTGCTGCTGGCAGGACATGAGTGTGGCTTGAAATAAACAGGATAGATTTTGATTGAGTTTGGGAGGGAATTTGGATATACAGATGCTCAGCCATTAATGGTTTTGATGACCCAAGATTCATTGGTTGATTACTGGAGAGGGAAGAGACTGGAGTCAGGGTGATCAGATAGTGCTACAGGAATCCAGATAAGGAAGGTGGGTGTGGGCTAAAAGAAGGAATGAATTCAGAAAAAAATCTGATTCTCAGGAGGGGAATACATTGTTGGAATTATCTGAGAAATGTCATTGGAATATGTATGCATGGTTGCCCTGCCGTCCTAGCCAGTTTGAGAAATAGCAGTTTAGAAAGTGAAATAAGGGGCGCCTGGGTGGCTCAGTCGTTAGGCGTCTGCCTTCAGCTCAGGTCATGATCCCAGGGTCCTGGGATCGAGCCCCAGATCGGGCTCCCTGCTCAGTGGGAAGCCTGCTTCTTCCTCTCCCACTCCCCCTGCTTGTGTTCCCTCTCTTGCTGTCTCTCTGTCAAATAAATAAAATCTAAAAAAAAAAAAAAAAAGTGAAATAAATGGGTTTGGGTATGTAAGCTGAGGAAGAAAGAGTTTAGTGGGACTGTAGTCAGAAGCTCAGGTGATGGGAATAAAGGTACCAGTAACTGAGACGGTGGATGGAGAAGTGCTAGCTTGTAAGCAGTAGCTGGTGAGTTTTGGTTTAAGGACCTTATGGGATCACCATGTGGAGTAGGCAGACATAAGTAGCTGAAGCTCAGGATAGGCCAGACCTGTGGATTGGGAGTCAGTGGCATGGAGGGAATCTTTCCAGTCTTGGGAGGACGTGAATTTGGTCAGGGACAGGTATGGTGCTAGAAGAGTCTAGGATCTGTGGTGGAATTCCTGGGCATCCATTTTTGAAGATAGTCATAGAAGAAGAAACCAGCACACCTTTGGATGGGAAAGTGCACTGGGCCTGGCTAATCCAACTAACTTTTTCAGAAGAAGCCTAATAATAGAGTGTAAGTCAAGGGAGAAAGGGTCCAAGTTAGCATCCTAGGTCTTAGGCATACATTTGTCAGTACAAAAAAATCATTCTGTGGAGTTGTGAATAGGTATTTTTCCTCTAACCTAGGGGTTGACAAACTTGTTCTGTGACGGGCTGGATAGCAGTTATTTTCAGCTTTGCAGGCTATTTAGCCTCTGTTGCAGTTACCTCTGTTATTGTATTGTGAAAGCAATTATAGACAATACATAAAGGAATGAGCATGTCTGTGTTCCAATAAAAGTTTGTTTTGTTTTTTAGATGTAGTTTATTTATTTGATAGAGTGCGCACACAAGCAGGGGGAGTGGCAGAGGGAGAGGGAGAAGCAGGCTCCCTGCTGAGCAGGGAGCCCGATGAGGGGCTCGATCACAAGACCCCAGTATCATAACTCGAACTGAAGGCAGACGCTTAACCTGCTGAGCTACCCACACGCCCCCAATAAAACTTAATTCGTAAATGTAGACATAGGCTGTAGTTTGCTGATACCTGCTATAACCCCACCACTTACTGTCTGATCCCATTGGAAAAGTTCTTTTGCTTCATTCCTTGGTCCTTTACATCTCTCTGGAAAGTTTCAGAAGCACAAGGGTGTGCACCAGGGTGGGCATTGCTGTTCATAGATAGCTGCAAGGTGTGCTTTGAGGTATTACAGTACTCACATGGGCCCATGCGAAGCAGACAGGAAGTGGTCATGCTGACCCATAATATATAGAAATTATAAATAGCCCTGCTTCATCAGGATCAATGGCAGGAGGGAAGTATTGGGTTTTGGATCTGGCTGAAGCTTTTAGAGACATCTCTGTAGTACCTGTTGCTGGTGGATGCCTGATTCTCCTCCAGGAATAGGGGGCTGCATTATTTTAGCATCTCTGATTTCTTCTTTTATGCAAGAGAAACATGATTTAGAGAGAACCTCAGGCTAGAAGGCAGATACCCTGTGTTCTAATTTTGGCCTCTTCCACTGGAGGGTCTGTCTCAGTCTCTGTGTCTGTGTGAGGAGTGAATTCCATAATCTACAGTTCCTTTCACCACTGATAGGGAGGTTGGATACATTTAGTTGATTGAATGCTTATAATCAGAATTTTATTCCCAGCTCTCGTCTTGAGTTTAATGTTCTTATCCATGGATGTGTCTAGTAAATTCTTCGTGTTTCATTCTTCTTACTTGCAAAGTGGGAATTGCTATCATCAAGGGAATTTAGAATATATAAAATGGCAGTAAAGTGCTTTCCCAAATAAGGCCATTTCAAATTCTTCAAAAATCATTTCTGCGTATAATATGGAATATTGGTTTTTCAAATATTGAGTGCTGGTCAATTTATTGAGAGGTCTCGGAGGACCCAAGTAATTGCCAATGACTAACTTAATAAAGAATAGCAATGAAACTGCTTTTATTTCATTTAATTTAGCTTATTGGTTGTCTTGCATGTTCTCCATCAATTGTTCCCTAGGCAAGTTTATCACTGTTGGATGGGGCAGGAAGGAGACGCAGTTCCATGGATCAGAAGGCCGGCAAGCAGCCTTTCAGGTGCAAACGGTAAGTTTGATTGGTCTGATGGACACAGAACCTTGACTGGAACAAATAGAAGTTTTGCCATGTACCAGGAAATCTAGGTGTCCTGTTAGAGGCTAATAATGGACAGAGCTCTTGTGCTTTAGTAAACTGAAACAGTTTTGAGCCCTTAGGGAATGAGTCATTCTAGAAAGACCCTTTTTCCTTGCCAAGTTGCTTTGTAATTTCTTTTCTGTATAGAGAATAATTATAACCAATACTCAGTTTAAAAAATATATCATCACAGATAGAAATGAAGCATTTTGTGTATCCTTTCCTGTTACTCTTTCCTTCCTTCCCAGAAATAGCTGCTGTCCTTAATTCACTGTTGATCATTCCATGGGTGTTTTCATACTTTTTTTCTACATATATATATTAGATACTTTTTTTTTTTAAAGATTTTATTTATTTGGGCGCCTGGGTGGCTCAGCTGGTTAAGCGACTGCCTTCGGCTCAGGTCATGATCCTGG